CCCAGCGAGTAGACACGTTGTTGTTTTCCTGAAATTTCTTTGTAAGGTCACTGTGACTCAGTTCTTGTCAGACTTCCCTCTGCCATTTAGAGGCAGGGCAGGGGACTCCTTTCTTTTCTCTTCTCTTGTGGTTTCATTTGTTGATACCTGTCTTTCATGGAAAGCACTTCCTCAGATAATTGAACCATACAGGAGCTGAGAAAAACATTACATTGGCTTAAAGCAGTCAGAGAGACCACACAGAAATGAGTGTAGTGTTCTTAGTGATTATAGATTGGGCCCTGAAGTTCTAGGACAGTATGTCAGAAATGAAGTGAGCCATCTGCGTGGTTGATTAATTTCTTAAGGTTGTGGCTGATACAAACAGTACGTGGTTCTGATTGAAAAAGGGAAGGTCTGTTATGGCCCAAGAATCCTGTGACTGTGTATCTGCCGGTTGTGATTCTGCCTGATCTCAGTCTTGTGTATTTGATGGAATGCCTATTCAGGTTCCCACTTTGAAACACATCTGTGAATTTTTAATGTTTTACTTCCGTTGCTGTTGCACTGGTTTCTTCTCACCTTGAGCATTGCAATAACAAGACAGATGTCACTACCTGTTGAATCTTCTCACAGTAACTTACATTCCTAAAGGAGCCATATTTTCAAAATACAATGTTTTTCACTATAGAAAACCCTTGATGGCTTGTTTATGTATAAAAGTAATCCACAGGTACTGAATGTAGTACTTAACCTCTTACCTCAAGACCTCAACCTGAATTTTCAATCCTTACCTATTGCTCATTTACTGCCTCCCCCTTCTCCCTCTAAATTCAGCCCAGAACACACGGCTTCCTCACATTTTCCCTGTTAACTCTCCAGAACACCATGGCACCTGGTGCACCTATAGTACTGACCCTTGCCATGTTATGGAGGTATTCATGTTTGTCTCTTCCTGGGATTTGAAATTTTTTTGGAAACAGAAACTGTCTCAACTTCATATCTCTTGGATCACCATCATACTTAATAGGGCTCAAATGTTGGCCAGATTTTAAGTAACATGCTTAAATACCTAATAGTACATTTTCCTGGATCTTTAGGAGATTGACATAAAGTGTATGAAGGGATGTATTATATCTCCTATTTTAGAATTCTTTATGCCTTGAGGTTTTTATTTTAGGTTCTTATAGAATAAGTAATATCAGTTTTATAGAACTTCATATAACTTTTTTATGGTCTTTCAGGTATAATCAGCTAATTGGCTTTGCAAGGCACTTATCAATTCTTTTAATTTCACTGTATCCATTATATTTATTTTCAGGTAAAGAGAAATGCTGTATGACATCAGATACTAAAGTTAATAAAGTTGGAAGACATTTGCTCAGTTGAATCACTTCAAGTAAGTCTGCTTATGCTTAAATACTAGTTTAAGACTGATTTAAAACAAAGAATTATGCCTACACCATTGATACTTTCTTAACTCTCAGATTTCTTAGAATATTTTGTAGTCATCTTGTATATTAAGTCACTGGCCTTGAAAAATAGTGAGAAAATAATTTATTATTAAATTTCATGTGCATATAAAATATGCTTAAACTCATCATTTAAAAATGAGATTAATGCCTCAGAATCAGCTTTCATTTTTATTAAATCTAGTCATAAAGTCATAACCACATGCCAAGTAATGCTTTTTAAGCTATTTTTTTCTTCGTAGCTAATATTTAATTTTTCAATTTTTTAAGTTTTCATGCAACTTTTCTAAGTGATTTTCTCATTAAAGGATATAACTTTTTTTGCTTTATATTTTTTCTTTTGGAGACAGAGTCTTGCTTGTTTGTTCAGGCTGGCCTTGAACTCACTTTGTGGTCCAAGTTAGTCTTGAACTTGCAACAATCCTCTTGCCTCAGCCTCCCAAATTCTGGGATTATAGATGTGCACCAACATGCCTGACTGGATGTAACTTATTAATTAACTCACACTTGAACCTTAGATGTTTAAAAGCTTAGCTTTGAAAGGTCATTTTAAAAGATCTCAGCTCTCACAGTGATTGTCTCCTAATGATCTTTCTATATTCATTCTCTCTTCCTCCATCCTGTATTCTGCTGCCAAACAAATCTGCACATAGAACCATTTTAGTAGTTTTAAAACCTTCTAATATTTCTCAGTTTCCTGTCAGATGGAATATATGTTCCTTTTTTTGGCATTCAGAGCCCCTTACCATGCTCCTCAGACTTAAGTCAGCTGGGTGTTTTCTCTGAACTTGGGGTATTTTCGTGTATCTCTCTTGTCTGTAGTGTTTCTGCTGTACACAGTGTTCCCTGCTCCCCTCCTCTGTCTCCTGGATGTCTTGTAATCCCTTGCAAGCATCTTGTGAAGCTCCGGCGATTACTCCAGCTAGAAGCACATTGTTTCTCTGCTGATTGCATCTGATATTTTGTTTTTATCATGGTTGCAGCACATTTTATCTTTGCAACTTTATTGTTCATATTTGTTTCTGTAATATCCTCTATGTAAGTTTTACAGCTATAAAAACAAAGATCTTAGCTAATTTGTAGAATTCACTGTAACCTTTCAAAGTGTTAAGAAAATACTTGTTGGGCCGGGGATTTAACAGCAAGAGTGAGGCTGTGAAATCAATCCCTGGTACCAAAAAAACCCACAAAAAAAAACAAAAACAAAAACAAAAAAAAGCTTGTTTAATTAATTAAGAATGCGCGTGGCTTTTTCTCCCATTACCACTCTGGCTTTCATCCTTCCAGATACATATGGTCCACATTCATGGCAGCTGCTCGCTCTTGTTGTATAACCCTGGTGCCATCTTATCCTAGGAAAGTGCTAGGAAGTAAACTGCATCCCAGAAGTTCATGTTTAATTCTGTTGTTTGGAATGCTGAAAGATTTTATCACCAAAACAATTTGAGAAATGATGGTTGGAGTCTCAGCCAGCTCTCCAAAGACTAACTCATAAATACCAGTGCTGCACTGACTACTGGCTATCGCCATGTGCAAGCTTGGTTGCAGAAAAACTGTAGCTCTGGGTAAGAAAGTATATCTCCCATGCATCAGAAGAAGGATTGGAGCTTTCTGGGACATAGATTGGATACTCTTCCAATTGTCAATGTTTGTCTGTAGGGCTCTAATAATTCTCATGTCATCTAAGTTGAGGGGAAGAGGATACTTGCTCATCTGATCCTCCTCATGGTCGATTAGGGTGAGATTTCAGCCTCACAAGGAGGGGCCTTCTGTAAGTCAGGTATTGACAGGTCAGGAGCTGTTTTACTATTTCCCCTTTTGCTCTTATAAACAGCTATGTGTGTGTGTGTGTGTATGGAAAATGTATAAACATAGAAAATACTTTTATCTATATGAAAAAGCCCACATTTATAGCTATCATCCCTTTATTTGACATAGCATCAGTTTTTATGAACAAGTGATTATCATTTCTACACAGGCTTAATGATGCTTCTAGTGAAAAACATGTCAGTATGTGCATAAACAACCCTCAATGCTGACAATTTCGGTTGTCAGGCTGCAAGAAAAAATACTTCCTAAATTTTGGAGAATTTAATTTATTCAGTCAGCCTAAGTACTGACCACATGAATCTCTACTTTATGCTTAATACTGTTGCCAATGGTGGGGATGTAGGGAATGGTTACAAAAGATATCACAAAAAGTTTACCTTCTCTCAAAGGGCCTAAAGCACAGAGAGCAAAATATTGAGTATTCACAGTGACAACAGTATTAGCAATAGCCATAAAATACTTTATAAAGGCAGTGAGTGCTCTTAGGATTATCAGAAGGGGAACATTTTCATAATTTGGTTCTAAAAATAGTGATGAGATTTTGCTTCATTTGAAGAATGGTGAAAATGTAAATAAAGAGCTGAAGAGGAAATGATTCTCCATCTTGGATTAACAGCATGAATTCAGGACTAGGAACACAAACAAACAAGCAGTCTTTACTGGCTGGAGCTTGTTGGGTAAAATAATAGGTGAGAAAATTAGATCAGTGGTTCAGCCTTGGCAGTACATAAGAGTCATCCAGATATTTTTAAAACTGTGAGTCCCTGGATCTTACTCCAGAACCATTAAATAGAATTTCTGGGACATGGGGCACAGCCTCTTTGTTTTTTAAAGCTCTCCTGGTGGTTCTGATGTTCAGCCAAGGTTGGAAACTCCTGAATTAGAAAGATGGGCTGCATTTAGGAGGCATGAATGCCTCCTGAGTAGCTGGCCTTTGTTCTTAAGCAGTGGGAAGCCCTCAGAGGGCTCTGAGATGAGTGACATGATTGTGTTGGTGTTTGCCAAGATAAATAATTCCTCAGCTACACGTGAATGGAAGAGAAGTAAAAAACAGCCTGAATCAGAGCAAATAGTAGTGTGGAAAGAGTCGTATCTTTAAGTGGCTTAGGTATGTGGAAGTTGGTGAGGTCGGCCTTGACCTTGGCATGATTTGTTTTATAAACTGATTATACAGCTTCACCCTCATTAATTTGGTCTCTTTTCTCTTACAACCTGGAAATTTAAACAGTAATTTCAGCCAGTTTGTGTTTAATGGAAAGACCATTGTCTACTCATGTACTTATCTAGCTTGTAATAGTAAGTCAAGTTATGTGTATAAGGAATATGACCTTTAACATAATCATTACAAAGCCTTTAATAACCTCCTGCATATGCAATAACACAGCCCTCAGTTCTGAAAGGTTGTAACTAAGAGCAGAGTCACATGTCATGGGAGTACACACTTCTCTAGCATTAAATTGAAATTTGATGAAACGTTCTAAAACATGCTCTGCATTTTCTTATTTTTAGTGTCAAATATGGTAGCTGCTTAATTTTCTGTTGGCAGACCTGTGTGTGGCTCCTGAAGAGGGCACCTATCCTTATTCTGAGCTAAAGCTGTCCTGCCTACCCACCTCTGTAGTTAGTTTAGCTCCTTGTCTCCTATTCAGTACCATCTTTTGCTGTTGTCTATCTCTAGTGCCTTCAACCCGTCCTCATCCAGAGGGACAACTGAGCCATCAGAGTGGAGCCTTAGAGGAGTCAGGATTTCAGCTGCGGCATCGACACACCGGAATGACCCGGAAACTTGCTCCTAGCCGAAGTAGGACGTGATAACTACTAAGGTACCACACCTGGAAGTCCCAAACCACACGATGGGTTGGAAACCTTTTATGTCTCTTTGATGTGTTTTGAATTTTTTACATTTGGTGTGTTTTGAATTTTTTACGTTTGGAAACAATGTGTTATATTTATTAGACAGCAGGGAGAAGTTCAAAGCGTGACATTCTGACATGACCCATCTCTGTTGAAAAAAGATGCAACATCATGAATCTTAAAAACATGTAACTACTTTCTCAGTCGTTCTTTAACAGTACACACACGACAGCAGTTTCTATTGCACTGTTTTTGATGTGTCAGTCAATTTATGATTTGGTCAGTATCTGTAGACCCCTTGTGGTACTTTTTGAATAGATGTCTGGTTATTCACTGATCACCCAAATGTGTAAACAGCACAGACAGTTTACTTAGTATTGAGGGACATGGGAGGAGAATTGAAGATGGAAACTGACATTTACCAAGTGCCCGCTCTATACCTGGTGCTTAGCATGTATTTTTATTATTCTGACTCTACTTTCCAAATGAGCAAATTGGGATTTAGAGAGATTTTAAAAAGTTGTCTGAGCCCACAATTAAAGTTGGCAGCACAAATCAGTTTTGATTGCAAGTCTGGTCTAACTAAACAGTCATGTCTTGTAAATCTTGTGAGTTTTGTTAGTAGAGAAGGACCAATGAACTCAGGAGATCTGAATACAAGCTTTACCTCTATCACAGTCTCGAACAAGTTGTTCAGTGCTTCTGAGTGTCAGTGTTTTTTATGCTTCATACATTTTAGACTTACTTTATTGATCATATAGGATATTTGTGAGAATGATAAACTGGTGAGAATCTATATTTTATAGTTAAAAAATCAGTGGAAATTTGAGATTTTTAATTCAAGGGGAAGAAAAAAGCAAGTGTTACATGAAGTGAATTAGACAGATTTTTGTGGTATTTTGCTTCTTAGCGTTGCTACAAACTTTCCAAAAATAATGGTCACTTTGCAAGTCCCATAGGCTATGGTATGCCAAACTTCATCATGGTGCACTTAATATCTTAGTGTAACAGAGCAAGTCTTGGCAACAGTATCGCAGTGTGGCAGAGCAAGCCAAGTGCCTCCTCTCACTTACCAGAAGCAGTCATTTGTTCCTGTGCCATCTCAAGTAGGTCTGAACTCTGGTGGAGTCTCAGTGCCAGAGAGGATTGTAGGTCACTAAATAGCAGTATGAGCTATTGGATGTGAGTTGGTGTTAACAGTCTCAGAAAATGAGAAATGTTTAAAGTTTTTATAGTTTCAGAATAAATCTGAAGAATAAAGTCACATTTTATAAAATGTTTTCACAAAACTGCTTATCAAAAATGTCTCCAGGTGCCTGAACAACCTTTATAGTTTGCAGGGCCAGCAGGTACTGACAGTTTTGAGCTGTTATAATCCACTTGTGCTTCCTTGAAGTGTACATGAGGAATCTGGAGAGCTTACTAAGTTATAAGGGCAGTAATGAGAGTGAAGTGGCAGTGAGCCTGTGAGGTACCGGAGTAACTGGGCTGACCCATTGAAAGCTCTCAAAGCTTCTTCTACGTCAGAGCCCAGAGACAAGGTAGAAGAGGAGTATAGACTTCAAATGTAGATCTAGAGGAGCACACCCTTCAGTGTTAGCTCTGTGGGTCACACTGACTGCATCCCAAAGAGGACAGAACCTTAAAGTGCTGGCTTCAGTGTGGCCCATAGGACCAGCATGGCACCTGCTTTCCAGGCCTGGTAGATGGATGTTCCAGCTAGCGCGAGGTCAAGGAAGTACAGAAACAAGTGGACATAAAAAATGAGAAAGCAGACAAAGCAGACATTGCAGAAAGCTAGATATGTGGTCAGATTTGGATCATAAGTGTTTTGTTTGACCACAGTGTATTTTATCCCTTGTTTTAAAAACACCAATAAATTGCTAAGTAGTGTTTTTTTTAAACTGGTAAATTGTTTGTTGTTAACTAATATAAATGCACAAATTCAAGTTGCTAGTTTTGCTGAAAACTGGAAGAGTTCACACTTTTGGTGTGAGCCTTCTCCATGGGAGTCATCTGCCAACACTGAATAGAGGCTGCCACTGTTGGAGGCAGTGATGGGGGCTGTGCCCCTCCGTTCTCACAGCACTGCCCCTAGCTTTGTAGAATTATGATGAAAATTAAATGTTAGTTTGCCATGTGTGCTAAAATTGGAAATAACGGTTGATTAGATGGCACATTTCAGTATAAGTAGGAGGGTGTTAGTTCTCTAGGGCCACTATAACTCTAGCAAATTAAAGCCTGAGTGGTCTCTTAATTCCATTTGCAAACAGTGTTTCATAACATTCACAGGTACCAGGGTTAGGACTTCAAAATTTTATTTTGGGAAACATAATCCAACCTTTAACAGTTGGTATATTGATTTGTGAAGTACATATCTTCTCCATGGTTAACAATAGAGATCTTTGAAAGAGTGCCTGAAAAATTCAGATTTTCATTGTGGTTTTGGACAAGTTGATTCCTCAGTACCTCAGTGACCTCGTCTATAAGGGGGGATAATGTCCCCTGCCACATAGGTTTGGATTGAAGACAAAATGAGTTAAAAGATAAAAGCACTTAGAATAGTGCCTGACATATACTGCGTGTTCAGAAGGTCAAACTGTTACCATTATTACTAGCTCATATTCATACATAACTGAAATGGATACACAAAGTGCATGCATTAAGATAGAATGATGAAATAGTCCACAGATAAACTAAGGATAGTCTCAATTGATGTATGGGGATAAACATGAACAGGAAGAAAAGAAGTAAAAAAGTAAGGAAGTAAAGGAAGGCAGGCAGGTGGACGATATATATATATATATATATATATATATATATATATATATATATGAATGAATCTCAAATGGTGGAAAGAATATATATGCATATGTTACTTCTGATTTGTGGTTTTACTTGAAAGAAGTTAGGTTATTAAATTTTTGTGAGTGTTTTGTAGTTTGAGTTTTATTAATTGGAACTTTAGATTCATTGGTGTAACCATTAGGGTTCTTTTCATAAGTGAAAGAAAGACAGTTCAGACCAGCTTATGAAAATGAAAGGAACTTGATTGTTTGTGTTGCTATGGTTTCTCAGGGCATGGTTGCAGCCAGAAACTAAAATGATCTCATCTCTCAACTCTGCTGGTTTCTTTGGCATTCTTCAGAAAGGCCTTTGCTCAGTAAAATGACCACTGGTAGCTCAAGATTCTCATCCTAGGTTAGCAGTCACTAGCAGAAGACAGCATGTCAGCCAGATGTCCTGCTGTCTGCTGCAGAGGTGTGGTTTGACTCGGGCCCCACGCGTGGCCCCTTATGCAACACAACCTGTGGCGTGAGGATCGTGTATGCTGGTGGGCCATCATGCTTCACATTTCCCATGTGCTGTGACTGCCCAGGGTCTGTAAGCCTACCGGGGTCTCCTGGAACAGGAGAGGCTTTCTCCAAAGGAATTAAAGGAACGGAGATAGGAATATGTACTCAGCAGATCGAAACTGCCAGGACTTCCTGTCCTTAAAACACGGTACATAGAAGAATCGAGACCAATTTCTTGTTTTAATGTGACAGTTAACATTCTGCTTTCTTGAATTAAAACAAAAATTAACACAAAACAAAGGAAATAGAAACAAAATTCTAACTGCTTATTTAATGAGAAGTAGGTGACATCCATAACCCTAACCCTAAAATCTTAAGGCAGAAAGCATATGAGGCTTTAACAGAGTTGAAAAAAGAGAAGCGAACACTAAGCCCCTACAGAGATGATGACAGTGCTATCAGGAGACTGGAAGATGGCATGTGGCTGCTGCCAAGACTGAGGAGTCTGCTAAAGGAACAGGTGGACTTCTCGGGGCTCAGCCCTCACCGCTTCTTCCCAGACCTCAGGATTTAGGGGACTTACTCTTTGGAAAAGCAAAAACTACGGAGGGTATAGTCAGGGACACAGGAACAGTGGACATCAGAGTTAAATGAAAGTCTGCTCTGCTGGTGAAGTACCAGGAAAAATAAATGTCATACACAAAGCATTTTGAACAAGAGCCTTCTCAACATCAGTATTCAGATACAAACATCAAAAATAATAGCAGGATTTGCAAAAGGTTTGCTATTTTTTCTGTCCCAGTAGATAGTGATTTGAAGTCACAAAGTTTGAGTGACTTCTCTTAGAGTGGCCCCTAGTTTACTACATGTACAAACCTGGGCAATTATAAATAACAAAATATCAAAATAGAATACTAGCTTTTGTTTTATATTTCACCAGTGAAAAACACAGAATTCTGATGGTAACTTTCAACAGAAATTACAGAAAGTATCAAGAGTTGAAATTTAGCAGACATTTTTCAAATTTTCTTTACTTTAAAAGTAGTATTTTTAGAATTCAGTGAATATTATTCTTGACTGCGTAACTGATAATATATGTTGTTATGGTATTTTTTATTAAAAGTGTTCTCCAAATTGCAGTTTGGATTCTTAAAATATTCTAATTTTAGTCTGTAAATATAAAACTGGAATTTTGAAGTGAAAATTTTCCTTCTTTTTGGATCAGTTCTAAAACTTAATGAGATGGAAGATAAATGTCTTTCTCACTAAAAAAATTGTATTTTATTTCTTATTCTACTATAATGAGACCAAAATCATGTAGAGAAATAAAAATGGAAGTGTGCCAGAATTTTTCTTGCCAGTATCACTTTTAAAATTATGCTGAGTTGCTATTGCTGAAAATTCAGAACAACTAAGTCTATTATGGAGTCTCTATCATAAAAGGTTTTTTTCCCCCATAGTTTTATTTTGGCTCAGAAAGGTCAAGAATTTTAAATTAGAATTATAGAACTGGAAGGCATCCCTCTTATTCATTATACAAATGAATAAACTGAAGTCCTGAGAAGTAATGATTTATCCAGGGTCACAGGGTTAATAGCAAAAGCTGGATGTGAATCAGGGCCTCATGGCTGTCACTTCAGTAATCTTTATAAAAAGACTCTTCAGGTTTATGT